CGACATGCTCCACCGCTGGGATGACAGCCAGAAATACCTATGAGACAATGTCCACCTGGTGTGTGAGGAGACAGCTGGTTATCTGGTGCATTGACCTGGAAGTGGAAGAGAAAGGTGCACTGATGGAGCAGGTGGCGCACCAGACCATGCTGATGCAGTTATCCTGGAGCTGGCCAAGAGTCTGAAGGTCGACCCCCGGGCCTGCTTCCGGCAGTTTTTCACCAAGATCAAGACCGCTGACCAGCAATACATGGAGGGCTTCAAGTATGAACTGGAGGCCTTTAATGAGCATGTTCAGGGCCATGCCAAGCTACGACTAGAGAAGGCCATGAAGGAGTATGAGGAGGAGCACAAGAAGAGCCTGGGCCCTGGTGGCCTGGACCCTGTGGAGGTCTACCAGTCCCTGCCTGAGGCTGCAGAAGTGCTTTGATGTGAAGGATGTGCAGATGCTGCAAGACACCATCAGCAAGATGGATCCCACCGATGCCAAGTATCACATGCAGCAATGCAGTGATTCTGGCCTTTGGGTCCCCAACTCCAAGTCTGGTGAGGCCAAGGAGGGGAGGAGGCGGGCCCCGGTGACCCATTGCTGGAAGCTGTCCCCAAAGCGGGCAACGAGAAACCGTCAGTGTGTGACCTGCCCTAGCCACTGCCACCACCTGCAGGCCTCTGCAGGTCCTTCTCCAGAAAAGGAATCCTAGCCACCATGTTCCTAGCTCCCGACTTCCTTCACTCCTGTTGCTCCTTACATCCTGGCCCATGGCCTGACCCACATCCCCTGTCTCTGGCCTGTCACCAGCACTCATCAGACTCTCTGCTTCGGGTTGAGGGGCTCTGCTGCCTGCAGCCTCCCCACCCCCATCAGCATTATGCCAAAGTCCTGGGGGTCTGGGGAGGGGCAGCAGTTGCCAGGTTGGTCCACCGGGTCGGGGATACACATGTCCCCAGCTGGTCAGGGCCTGTCCCTATGGGTCTGTGGTCACTGTTTTTCTTCTGTCTAGCTTTCTGTCCTACAACTGGCAACAATGTCCAATAAACAGTTCCAGGTGCGGAGGCCTCTGGCTCAGTGCTGTTTGAGGCAGAGGGAAACCTAGGTGGGGAGAACCAGAGTCCTGTGACAGGCGTGCCCTTTCCTCTCCCCACTGTTCAAAAGTCCCAGGCCTTCTGTGGCTCTCCAACTCTTTATCTCAGTCTCTCCTTCCTCTTTCCTTTCCTCTTTCCTTCCCTCTTCCTCCCCTCTTCACCTGTACTCCATAGAGTCAAGAGGACAGGAGTTGGAGGATAGCCTGGGCTGCATGTGGCTTTTCACACTGTCTTTTGCCTGCTAGAGAAGCATCCTATTTTGAATGTGTGTGTGTGTTTTTGTCTTTCTGAGACAAGTTTTCTATATATCTTTGGCTGTCCTTGAACCCACTATGTAGATCAGGCTGGCCTCAAACTCAGAGATCTGTTTCCCTGAGTGCTGAGATCAAAAGCATAAACCATTCCTGGCTTAAGTTTTGATTTAGAAAAGAAAAAAAAAAGATTGTGGAGGACTCTTAAAGTTGAACTAAGTGCACCTTGCATTAAGAAATGGCCATGAGCCTTTGGGGAGCAAAGGTAGAATGTTATGGTTTAAAGCAGTATCCATGGGCTTATGCTATCAATATTTTTTCCCTAGCAATGGTGCTGTTTTGGGAGGCTATGGAATCTTTAGGAGGTGGAACCTAGCTGGAAGAAGGAGGTCTGATGGGTAGCCATTGAAGAGTATAGCTTTGCCCCCTGGTTCTGTGCTCATTCACTGCTTCATGGTCCATTGTCATATGTTTCCACCTCCATCTGATTTATGCTAGCTCACTTCTACCACTCTGTCACTTAGCAGGCAGAGGCAGGAGAAACAATAATTCAAGGCCTCACTGTATAGTAAGTTCCAGGCCAGCTTGTGGTACAGAGTAAAATCTTATTTTAAAAAGCCATCAGGGCTGGAGAGATGGCTCAGTAGCCAAGAGCAATTAGTGCTTCTGCAGAAAACCTGAACTGAGTTCAGTTTCCTGCCCTCACATGGAGGCTTACAACTGCCTGTAACTCTTGTTCCACAGGATATGTTGCCTTACAGTTCACTGGATATATGTAGCACAGAGGCATACATGGAGTCCAAAATAACCATGCACATAAAATAAAGTATTATAGGCTATTGCCATTGCTCTTGGTTGCTTTCCAGGACTTGAAGTTAAGGTCCTATTACTAAAGACACAATAGGACTTGGAGGACTAAATCTAGGACTAGCCCTGGAAGCCTTTTTGAAGACTAACTTACATAGTGCTTAATAGTGCTATGCAAGGTGCCAATGAAGGAAAGCAACCAATCTTACCCAGTTGTAAAGCCTACACACCACAACAATGACCAACACAGCAAGATGTTTTGAAAGGTACAATAATGGCATTTATATCTTAGGAGTAACCAACAGCCATCTGATTGGACTTAAGACCTTATCAATAGATAGGAATTCATGCCCGATACTATAAACCCAGCTAACTACCCATGGTTGGTGACATCGTAACTCCTAGGAGAACTTATTAACTATCTCTTTCCTAAATTTTAAAATATTTAGCTTTATACGTACAGCTAAGTGTAACTCTTGGTGCCCAATGGTAATGGATACATCCTCAACACAACCCCTGTTTCTCAGTTAGGAAACATCTTGGAAGTAGGGGCAGAAACTGTAAGATCCAGAGGATCAGGACATCTGCTGAGAGACAGTGTCTTCTAATATGATAAAGAAGCTGCACACATGAAGTCTTAACCATGTGGTTTCCTAGACCAAACCAGAAGCCCCCGTGAGTAGAGGAAGTCTTACAAGACTTATGTCTTAGTTACTTTTCTTTTGATTTGATGACACCATGGCCAAGGCAATGTACAAAAAAAAAAAAAAAAAAAAAAAATCAGTTTATTGGGAGCTTACAGTTTCACAGGGTTAGGATTTGTGACTGTCATGGAGGACAGCATAGCAGTAGGCAGGCATGACACTAGAAATATAGGTGAAAGTTTAGTCATCCACAAACACAAGGCAGAGAGAGAGAGAGAGGAGCTAACTGGGGATGGCATGGGCTTTTGAAACCTTAAAGCCCTTCCCGTGTTATGTACCTCCTCCACAAGACCACATGTCCTAATCCTTCCCAAACATTCTACCAATTGGGACCAAGCATTCAAATATATGAGCTATGGGAGCCATTCTCATTCAAACCACCACAGCTCCACTCCTAGAAGAATAGCTAAGAATAACTAATGGCTACTGAAAGAGAATGGTCTTCTCTAGGGACAGGACCTCTGATAGGTTATCTAATCCCAAGCCATCAGCCCTAAACACATGTACATGTAAGCATCTGTGCATGGACTCAGCTGTCTGTACATACATTTATGACAGTAATAATTAAAGAAGAGGTCATAAGTTTGAGGATAGTTGGTAAAGGCAGATGGTAGAGTAGAAATGATGTAAATACGGTACTTACATGTAAAATTCCAAAAAACAAAAAACAAATAAAATTAAAGCCGACAGTAGCAACAGCAACAAGGCTTCATGCTGCTTTCCTCCACTGAGATTCTCAGCCATGGAAGCGAAAGCATCATCACTGGGAGAGCTCCAGGCAGAGGGCAAGCTTTGGGGAGTACCAAAGGCCTTCCTGTTAGGAGCGGTGGTCCAAAGAAGACAAAGACAGTTCAGCAGAACTGAAACTCGTGAAGAGGGCTCCAAACACAAAGCGCTAGGACAGAGGGACACATAGAGGCTACTTTGGTCAGGTACATACAACCACTTCGACTATGGGAGGCAATCCCTGCAGTTCTCTCTGTAGGAGGCAGACTTAAGGTCAACATAGTATTTCAGCCCTGGTAGTTTCTTGCATTGGAGGAATCAGTTTTGTTTTTAAATCAAAATTTTTTTTTTGTTTGTTTCAAAACAATTCTGCAGTATACATATAATTTTCATATTTATTGAAGATGAAAGCAAAAAGTACATAGTGATATTGATTATTTTTGTTTTATGTTAAAAAATACTTTTTTATTGGGCAAGGGGGCACATATATGCCACAGTGCGCTTATAGAGGTCAGAGATCAGGTTGTAGGAGTCAGTTTTCTTGGAGGAAACAGCTTTTGGAGGCAAGCTGAATGGGCCCTGCCACTCCTTTGAGTAGAGCCTTAGTTTTCTTAGCTATAAAACAAGAAATTCCTTCCTACTGCCATTGCATTTTGACAAAAGTTAAAATGTATCAAATCACATAAATCCCTAGATAGTGGGATTTTAATAAGTTACAGTTATTACTAATCAATGCAGACCTCCACTTATTAAATACATGGTTGGGCGATGCCGGGTAAGAGCAGGCCAGCTTGAGACTTGCTGGGACAATCAGGTGTTGGCCCACCTGAGGTAAGAGATGAGACCCTGGGGATGGGTTTCTGAAAAACGTTTCTTCTCTCTCTCTCATAGATGCTTGTTCAGGTCAGCAGATGCTCCTTTTGGGTGGGAGGCATTGATGACTATCATGACAGTGTTTCCTCCTGAACTGGGAAAATGACAGGAGATGTGCAGGGCTGGTGGAAGGGAGGTTGTTAGGCTCCAAAAGGGTCTCAGACAGTGGGAGATGGAGAATGCCCATTGTCTCCCTGACATCTTGGGTTGTGGAAGCAGGTAGGTAAGGAAACAGGTAATAACCAGAAGCAGAGGCTTGCTCCCCATGGGTGTGAGGTAGGGGGTGACTAAATCATACTCCCGGGAGATTCTGAGAAGCCACCCTTTCTCTCCCAGATTCCCACACGCCCACTTGAAGACATTCCTAACCTTGTGACAATCCACAGAAAGAAGAAGAGGAGGAGTTGCTGGCGTTTGTAGTAACAGGATGAGAAAGTGTGAGACTTCCTGTTATGTGTGTGTGACAGCTGGTGATAAGTGGAGGGGCCTGTGCAGGAAATCCGCTCAGCTTCTGCAGTGTGACCTGCCCGAAAACTTGGCAGCTCCTCTAGTCTGGATGTTGATGGCAGGACAAAGAGGCGCCTGTACCATGAGTGATGTGGTAGAAAGGAGCCTAGAAGGACCCTTAGCACTCACTACAGACACGTCCTCCCAGAAAAGGGGAGACCTGGTGGAAATATTAAATGGGGAGAAGGTAAAATTTGACGACACCAGACTCTCCTTAATTCTCCAGAGCGGCCTGGAGACCCTTCGAGAAGAAAACGCTTTGACAGATGTCGTCTTGTGTGTGGACATTCAGGAATTTTCTTGCCATCGCGTGGTGCTTGCTGCGGCCAGCAACTATTTCAGGTCAGAGTCAAACTGCATGTACATTGCAAGGAAAATATCTGTAGATCTGAGAGCTCAGTCTAGTATGTTTGCTGTTACATATATGGTTTTATATATTCTTATTACATATAATATGTTATATATTATATAAATATCACATTATGTTATATATAATATAAATATGTATACATATACTCCCAAGATTTGTATGCCTACTTAAAATATAAGAAAGGAAACTATCAAACTGTAGATGTTTTGATTTAGGCAAGGAAAAACTGGGACCATTTAGAAGCTGTGCTCACTTATATATGTATGTCTTTGATTTTAGGGATGTGAAATTACTTAAGTAAGGGAGATTTTTTTTTCCTCCATTTCCCCAGCTTGACTAATGTGTTAGAAAAGTGATGTTGTTTTTGTTCATCAGTACAGGTAGAGAAAAGGATGTGGTCTCGCACTTGGAGTTACCAGATGACTTGCTGAAAATTAGGGTTTTCTCTTGTGCAAGGGGAAGGTGGGAAGGACAAGCAATAGAAGAAGGCTCTGGATGAGAAAGGCTCCTGGGGTGTCACAGTGGGATGACATGGGGTCAGAAGACCTGCTTTCATTTCACTTGGGCCCTTCCTTTGCTGGTACTCTGAGTTTCTGTCACCTGGAAGATGGGGACAGTGCCAGTTTTCTTTCATCACTGTTGTAATGATTCTCTTAATGAAAAGGTCTTGCATGGTGCTTGCAGAAACATTTCCTCAAAGCATCTTTGTTGGACTCTCCTATGAATACAGCTGGTCCACGTCAGTGTGGACATGACAAGAAACCCGTGTGTAAGGATGGTGTAGATGAGGAAGGTAAACTAGAAAAAAATAATTGGAAACTAGAAAAAAGTTACATTCATTCTATTTTTAATGATATTTTCCTACGTCTCAGTTCTAGTTGAGGATTTTAAGAATTGTATTGTAAGAAAAATTGTGTGTGTGTGTGTGTATAATTGTATTTCATTTGGAGTGGTTAGGAAAAGTTTTTTTTTTTTTTTTTTTTTTTAATTCAGAGAGCAGGGTCAGCAGGTTGTTGTGGGTAAATGGCTCCCAGGTATTGACGATGCAAGGGGCAAGGGACTGTTTGAGTTTGAGGGAAGTCATGTTTTCTCTGGACCACAAACAACGGTCACTGGTTTCACTCTGCACTGGCATGATGAAGGTGACAGACAGCCCTTTTTCAGATGAGGAAATGAAAGCCGCACGTTATGTACTTGGCCGTTGCTGGAGCAGGGATTCCACACATTCTAAAGATCCTTGTTTTAACTGCAGTACAAGCGGCCACTGAGATTAGAGCATGTGAGTTTAGAGCTATGGGCAGCATATCTAGGTGAAATGTAAGCGCAGTCATAAACATGTGTTGACACAAACATACTGCTTGACCTGCCGCTGTGCTGGCCACTAGCTCTCCCACTCAGGAGTGAATGAAAGCCGTTTTGCCTCAGTACCCTGGGTACTTGTTTTCGGTTTATTCTTTATTCTTTGGCTCACTGACAAGCCGCTCTCATTGGTTGCTAGTTTTATAAGTGCGTTTGCCTGACTGTCTGTCTGCCCTCGAGACATCACTATCTTTGGTCTTTGGGTTTCTCTGTGTAAACAGAAGGTGCCTTAGCTAGGTATTTTGTCCTTATTGGTGTAGAAAACACTGCTCATCCTCAGGGCAGGTGGTGGGAGGAAGAAGCTGGGTGCGAGTGCCTGTGGCGTAGACTTTCTTGCCAAATTGCCTGGTCTTACTCTTACACTTTCTTTAGATTTACATGTATGAATTTCCAACATAGTTTTCCTCCTATACTGGGTACAATTCTGTAGACAGGACTCTGTTTTCTACTGGTTGAGTTATGTGGGATAGGCTCTGTGCCACATGGACCTAACCCATTTAATGTGTACAAAAATTTTGTGTTCAACATTGTGCTTATCTTAGAGATGAGGGGGCTGAAGTCTGGGATGGCCGTTAATTTAAAATATATATATATCCAACTTGTGTCCTAAGGCCAAGGACTGACATTAGGTCTGACAATGACTCACTGCCTCTTTGCTTTTTTTCCTAATGTTTAGGAAGGGTTGAGACATTGGTCACTGTCATCACACTACCGCAGATTGAAATTAGCAACCTCTGTTCGTGGCACAGAGCAGGCATGACTTCCCTCACACTCAGCCCCTTGTCTTATAATATGTGTGAGCTATTTAACCCACGACAACCTACTGTTCCTGCTCATCACACACACAGAGAGGCAGTTGCAAGCATTTGTGTACCAGAAGAATGATATGGTAGGAATATGTCAGCCAAACAGGGACAATATTAGTCAGTGAATTTCCCTTTGTGGGTCTGTTTTAAAGTCTTGGGAGGAATGAGGAAGTTGGAGAAAAATACGTTTTGTGAAGAGAAATGAACAAAGGATGGTAAGCCTTAAAAGTTAGCTTCTTGGCTCTAATCTAGGAGTAAGTGCTTGACTCCCAGCATCCATATCTGCAGCTAAAAGTTTGCTGGTATACATTTACAAGTGATTTGTCATGAAATGCAGATAATAGAACTGTTCACTTGTTAATCTGTTTGCCTATAAACACACCATGTGTGGCAATGAATCAGATTTCTTAGTTTCTGTGATCAGAAATGCTCTCTGGCTTATTTGAAAAGAGAAATTGATATGTGTAGTGTATTGACTCAGAAAGTCCCCTCCTAAGAAGTGTAGAGAAACTAAGAGACAGTATAAGGAGGTCAGGCAGTAGTCCAGATCTCAGCCAGTTAGCCTGTGTCAGGAGGAGCCCAGCTGCTACATAATCCTGAAGGCGAAGGCACACAGCAATGGGTCTTAGCCTGTGTGGTGTGATCCTTTTGGCAAACTTCCAAAAATATTTACATTATGCTTTATAACAGTAGCCTAAATCACAGTTCTGAAGTAGCAATGAAAGTAAATGGGGCTTACCACAACATGAGGAACTGTATTAAAGGGTCACAGCGTTAGGAAGGTTGAGAGCCTCTGGGCTAGAGCTTCTGCTCCCTCATTGTCCCATGGCCATTTCTGGAAACTGGAAGTCACATTGCCACTGTTTCTACACAAAGTCTTTCTTGTGTCCTTGCTTCTCTGTCTTACCAAAGCTTGTAGTTCATGCATTGGCTGAGTTCTCTCTATTGATGCCTGGCTGGGACAGGAACCAGGAAGAGCCTCAAACCTCTGAACCTACTGGAGTGGGAGTGGCTTCTGCCACTTATCACCCACTCAAAGGGAGGGAGCATTTGCCATACTGAGGAGGGACTATGGATGCTGGGAAATAGACCAGGCCTGGAGTGGATGAAGAATGGGTGTCATGGGATCTTAAGGTCCACAGATTTAGGAGACATGTTGTCTCATGGCATTGGATGTGTCTCTTAAGGCAGGGAAATGGACAATTATTTACATTATCATTCCCCTTCTCCCTGACTTCTGTGACTCTGTGGCCTGAAGGCATCTTCCAAATGGGTGAACTCAAAACTGACTGAGCTGCCTAGAGTGGTTCATGCCTTTAAATCTCAGCACTTTGGAGATATCTGTGAGTCTGAAGCCAACCTGGTCTACATAGTGAGTTTCAGGCCCGTCAGGTTTACACAGTGAGCTATGTGAAAGCAGCAACTTCCTTATTCATTCTTTTGTCCTTGGTGTCATTTGCAGTAACTGCCATTTGCAGTTCAGAGTCAGTAAAACCTTGATAGTCCTGCTAAAATTGGGTCACTGATTAAATAGAAGGTCTCACGAGGCAGCAAGGCTTTTGTATATTTTAGAAAAGGGGAGGATGATGAAGGAAAAATTGGAAGGGACACTTAAAATTTAAAATGGAGGTTTCGAAGATGGCTCAGTGGTCAACTGTTGTGCAAGCAGAAGGACTTACGTTCAGATACCCAGCATTCATATAAAAAGCTAGGCGTAGCAGTGTAAACCTGTGATCATAGTCCTGAGAGGTAGAGATAGCCTAGCCACTCAGTGAGCTCCACATTCCGTCACAGACTCCGCCTCAAAACATATGATGAGAACAATAGAGAAAGATACCCCATGTCCACCTCTGGCCTCTATACATGCACCCATAGGTGTATATATGTATACACACACACACACACACACACACACACACACACACACACACACACAC